CATACTAAACTAATTTTCATTGAAATATACCCTTAAAAACCGCACACCAGAACCCTGTTTTAGCTTATCTAAAGAGCGCCGACTCCCCTTCCCGCCAATTTTCATTTCAACAGAAAAATGTCCTCACGCTCTAACTACTACACTTCCTGGCTAAAATTCTGCTGCGAAACCCACAACCAAACCTTAGCAAAGACAATTCATTGCTTCATACTCAAGACCCTGGTGAACCCAGAAACTTTCTTTTCAAACAATCTCATCCATACATACAGCAATTTGGGAAATATAAGGTATGCACGCTACATGTTTGACAGTATGCCCCAATCAAATCCCTTTTCATGGAACATCATTCTCTCAGCTTATTCGAAATCCGGACAGGTTTCGAACATGCAAGATATATTCAATCGCATGCCAAATAGAGATGGGGTTTCTTGGACTGCGCTTATTTCTGGATATGCGTCTTCTGGTTTGGGTGTAGAGGCAGTGAATGCTTTTAATTTGATGTTGAGGGATGGGGTCTTTAACTTGAACAGGATTACTTTTTCGACTATGCTTATTTTGGCGTCTAGTCTAGGTTGTATCCATTTGGGTAGGCAGATTCATGGGCAGATAGTGAAACTGGGGTTTGAGTCCTATTTGTTTGTGGGCAGCCCTCTGGTTGACATGTACTGCAAAGCGGGGTTGATTTATGATGCCAAACTGGTTTTTGATGAGGTGCCGGAGAGGAACGTTGTCATGTATAATACAATGATTACAGGGCTTTTGCGGTGCGGCTTGATTGAGGATTCCAAAAGGTTGTTTTATAGTATGACTGAAAAAGATTCGATTTCATGGACAACTATGATTACAGGATTAACTCAAAATGGATTGGACAGAGAGGCTATTGATTTGTTAAGAGATATGAGGATGCAAGGCATTACAATGGATCAGTATACTTTTGGAAGTGTTTTGACCGCTTGTGGGAGTCTTCTGGCCTTGAGAGAAAGCAAGCAAATTCATGCTTTTATAATTAGAACCAATTATAAAGATAATGTTTTTGTGGGTAGTGCTCTTATTGACATGTATTGTAAGTGCAAAAGCATAACGTATGCAGAAGCAGTTTTCAAGAGGATGACCCGTAAGAATGTTGTATCATGGACTGCAATGTTAGTAGGTTATGGCCAGAATGGTTACAGTGAAGAAGCTGTTAGAGTTTTCCATGATATGCAGAGAGATGGGGTTGATCCAGATGACATTACTCTGGGAAGTGTTATTAGCTCATGTGCAAACCTGGCAAGCTTAGAAGAGGGCTCCCAATTTCATAGCCGAGCAATAGTTTCTGGGTTGATTTCATTCCTATCAGTCTCCAATGCACTGATTACTTTGTATGGAAAATGTGGAAGCGTAGAAGATGCCAGACAACTGTTTGATGAGATGAAAATTAGGGATGAAGTTTCTTGGACTGCATTAGTTTCAGGATGTGCTCAGTTTGGAAAGGCAGATGGGACAATTGATTTGTTTGAAAAAATGGTGGCCCAAGGTCTGAAACCTGATGGAGTTACTTTCATTGGTGTTCTTTCAGCTTGCAGTAGGGCAGGGCTGGTAGAGAAAGGGTATCAGTACTTTGAATCAATGGTAAAAGACTATGGAATTGTACCGATTCCTGATCATTATACTTGCATGATTGACCTTCTTAGTCGAGCTGGAAGGTTAGAAGAAGCAAGAGATTTTATAAATAAGATGCCTTTCCAACCTGATGCAATTGGTTGGTCCACCTTGCTGAGTTCATGCAGACTTCAGGGTAACGTGGAAATTGGGAAATGGGCAGCAGAATTCCTTCAGGAACTAGACCCCCAAAACCCTGCAAGCTATGTTTTACTCTCAAGTATTTATGCTGCTAAAGGGAAATGGCAGAATGTGGCCCAACTAAGGAGAGAAATGAGAAATAGGGGAGTTAGAAAGGAACCAGGTTATAGTTGGATCAAATATAAAAACAAGGTGCACGTTTTCTCAGCTGATGACCAGTCAAGTCCATTTTCAGATCAGATATATGCTGAGCTTGAAAAGATACACTGCAAGATGATAGAAGAGGGTTATGTGCCTGATATGAGCTCTGTTCTTCATGATGTCAAGGAATCGGAAAAGATAAAGATGCTTAATTACCACAGTGAGAGGCTAGCAATTGCATTTGGGCTGTTATTTATTCCTTCTGAGCTACCTATACGCATAATTAAGAATCTCAGGGTATGTGGGGATTGCCACAATGCAACCAAATATATTTCTAAGATCACGCAGAGAGAGATACTTGTTAGAGATGCTGTCCGTTATCACTTGTTTAGAGATGGAAAATGTTCCTGTGGAGATTTCTGGTAATTGAGTTCTTTGTATTCAAAGCAATTCTACAGGTCAAAACCTTAGATTCACCTGGTGGAAGGACTGAATTCAGCAATTTTGCTAGCAAAAAGAAAGAGATTTCGCAACTAAATAAGAACATTTTCCTAGGGTGTTAGTCCATTCATTTCGCGAAGCATCTTATGAACACCAAAATCCAAGTACATATCATTGTGAGCGTATGGTTTCAGATATCAAAATCTTTGGTTTATGTCTGGTGGAGAATGCATTGCGGCAATAATTCAAGGTTTGGAATAGGAAATATTCAATTATTGAAGAGCTGGTATCAGCTGCTAATTTTATAACCACGAGGAAGAGAGTCGCATCAGGACATGTATAACATGAACAATTCAACAATTGTTTGAATAATGCTTCAGTGGACTACATTATGCAAAGGTAAGACATGATGGTGTAATGGATATGATTTTGCTGACAAAATGTAGAAGTTTTATATTTTTATATCAGAAGTAGTCAACTTGGAAAATATGAGAATATACTCTATTTATGTTCCCTTGCAGATGCCTTCCAAAAAAAAATGTTCCCTTGCAGATCCACTAGGTTCTTCTTGACCTTGCAGTTAGTTCTGTATCAGGTGGAAACTAACAGAGTATTGTAAGAGAAAGCTTAATGATATTCTTTTTTTTTTATTTTTTTTTTTATTTTTTATATGTTGGTTGCATAATGAGAAGCAATCATCTCTCATCATTTATTTCATCTCACCCACATGTTATGTGACTCAAATTTAAAATCTCTTATTTTTACAAAAAAATTACCACTGAATTATTTAGGTCGTTAGCTTAATAATATTCTTATTGATTCAATTAAAATATATATACAGAGAAGAGAGTCGTAGCTCTAGCATACATAAACAGAAAGAATCTTATGCAGTGATCAAGAGATACAAACAATTAAGAGATACACAGAATCATATCAATAATTGAATAGAGAACTATCCGGGATTATGCTTGGATTCAATAGAACTTTCCTTAACAGAAACAAATTCTGGCAAAATAAATTGGAAATCAATGCAACACAATTTTATTACAGAAGCTAATTTAATTACATGCAGACTGCAGTGGAGTACGTATCGCAATTACTTCTGCTACAGGTGCCTAATCATCTAAATTCTTCTAAATAAATTGGATAGCAGTGCCGCTTCTTCCACGACCAAACCATAAAGAACCCACCCCATGAAGAGCCCACCCCTAATGAGGTAAGAGCCTGCTTTTATTCTTTTCTTTATTCAAGTCAGGTTAATCCACCCAGGTTAGGTTTGATATGGAGTCCCAGATCCAAAATGATACTCAAAAATATTTCGAGTATGATAAAATTATTTTTCATCAGCCAAAATCACAATTAGAATTTAGAAAGACATTGATTACTATACATTTTAGTTTAAAATACTACATAATATATTTATTAAAAAGTTAATATTTTTTAATTTAAAATTAAAAATAAATAAATTTAAAAATACAATTATATATGTAAAATGTGAAAACTAATTTAATCAAGTTATATTTGTATTATATTTTAATAATAAAATTAGGTGAATATCTAAAAGTATAGTTAATCAAATGTATATAAATTATTTTATGAGAAAAAATATAGTTGAAAGCCTTGAAATGATAGTGGATAAAATTATTTCATTGCTACAAAACAAAGTTTGATCTAACCAAAATGGATGCTAAAAGACAAGTTAGAAACATTTGTTTGTAGATGGTCAAAGAAAACTACAGAGATACTAACGATTTGTCAGTTTTGAGTAAAAAAAAATTAATTTTTTTTAATAAAATCTTGGATTCAAATGTAATAAATAAAAAAATAAATATCAAAAAAATATATTTTTAAGACCTTTAATTTGATTTAAGTGTAAATTAATTTAATCAAATTTAATTTAATGTAATCTTTAAATATTAAAAATTAATAATAATAACACTTGGATCTTCGATCTAGTTATGTCAAGTAAATCATGTATAAATGCATTCTTTGTTATTTATATTTGAATTTTGATTTTTTACGAATTTGTTAAAAAAAAAAAAGTAATAATAATAATAACAAATAGACAGCCATAGACGTGAAAAGTACACTTAAAGCTGCAAGTGCGTTTGGTCTTTTGTGACCTAGCTATGGATTTGTCTTTTCTAGTCAAATAGTCAAATCCTGCCTGCTAAAAATAAAAATAAGTTTTTCACAACTAGGAATTACTAATTTAATATGGCCAACTTGCCGAGAAAGTGCTTGACTGCTTGCAGAATTAATGGGGTAGACTTGCTCTTAACTAGCGTCACTTTGCACCATTACTAGGATGAAATTGGAAGATCATTTCTACAGGGTATAGTAATTGGTGGTTGAGACGTTAGGCATCTTGTTAAGGTGCCTCAAAATCTTCTCAGCCATCTGCCTTGTATTACCATCTCCATGATGGAAAGCACTTATTAATGTGGCTGGAAACAGCCTGTCCTGTGATATGTCAGAAGCAGACTTATCCCCACCTTTCAGTAGGAATTTCTCAATCACCCAAAATGATTTCTGCCAGAGGCCCTCTTGTTTGTGCTCTTTCACAGCATTCAAGACATGTTTTATAGCATGTGCTTCACTCAACAGGCTCACACTATTGTCCATATCAACCTTATCATCCAACAAAGTGCATATGGCTGCCAATGCAGCTTCAACTACTCCAGCATTCTCATGATCTAAACATGCTAGCAGCCTTTCAACTGCCTTCGCATGTACCAAGCAAAATGTGCTTTGTGAAGAGCAGACTCCTCTATGAACAGGGCACAGCAGTATATTTTTACTCTTTGATGAACCAACTGATAGGGACTTGGGTAGGTACAACAATTTCACAAACTTTGTTTTCTTGATTTCTGGTGGTTTTGATAGATGTGTTGATTCTGATGAGAGGTTTTCCAAACCAATTGCTGATAACCTTTGAACTTCATCACTCGACGTCTTCACGAGCAGTTCAGTAAATACCTGGGTAAAGTTGTGGGTTCTTGCAAGGAACAAAATTTGAGTTTCGTATAGTGTAGTGGTAAATCTGACAAGAATTCCCACTAGGCCCTCCAAGTAAGCATTTGCATACCTGCTACTTCTTGTTCCACTTCTTTGAATTGAGTTGATCGTCTGTAAGATTCCAGGGACAACATTCTTGTTGAGGAGAACCAGATTAAGTGTCAGGTTCTGGTGGGGGATTTTTGCCAGCAGCTTTGCTGAAACCGCCTGCTTCTCTGTGATATGGTTTGGCTGAGTTGGGATTTCAATTAGATTCTCGGGTAGACCTCTGGTTCTACAGAGTCTTTCAGCTAATGTGTGACCAATGTAAGGTGAGAGTTTTATTAACAGTTTGATTGCTGCAACACTGAGTTCTTCATGTGGATTGTTGAGGAGTTCAACCAGCGTGTAGCTTGCTTCAGTCTCCTTGATCACTGAGACAACTGTGGTCATTGATTTGGGTGACTCAGACAGGCACATGAGTATTCTGATGAGATTGATGTTGAGTTCATCTGGGCTTGAGTTCTTGAGCATGTAGATAATGCCATAGACAACATAATCCGAACTCATTGTGTGGCCATGAGTGTTTATTTGGAGGCTTCCATGATCAACCCCAGACTCAAGTATATTTGCAAGTATTGCAGCAGCTTCTTTCTTCGAGTTCATTGGTTCATTGTAGATCGTCCGAGTGAACATCTCATCAGCCATGATATGGAAAATGCCAGCTTCTACAAGTATCCTTGCATTTGGGTGGTAAGATGAGATTTCTGCTAGGGCCTGAAACGCTGCCCTTCTGACCAGACTGTTCCCACTCTGCACCATTTGGATGAGACAAGGAGAAGCCCTCTCAGCCACATAGGTTTTGCTGTCATGTTCAAGAACTACTTCTCCCAAATAGCTTGCCATCTCCATCTGCGTTTCCTCACTACCTGATAATAGCATCTTTCTGTTTCATGAAAAACTCAATAGGAGTACTTGTATTGAAAGGTGAAAATTCTTTGAATTACCTTCAATAAGATGATTTAGAAGAGGTTCCAGGAATCCACTCTCAGCCATCCGCTTGATGTTGTCAGGACATTTCCCCAGGTTCTTTAATATTTCATGTGCTTTTTCTGAAGCAGAGGGATCGGTGTTGTGATTATATCTGATTCTGATCAGCATCAGAATTGCTCCAGGAGCAGACCCAATCTTTTCACCCAAAACCTGGGATCTTGAAAGCTCAAGCAAGAAAGCCAATGTTGCACGCCTTACTGCCTGGATACTGCTTGATAGCATCTTAATTAATGTTGAAATATCCAATATCTGGCTAATCATATCCTGCACAAAATACCTCTTAGAATTCTGTACGGATTTTCAAAATTTTATTGCTTCTTGAAAATGTTCTTTGTTATTTTTCAACTAGAAAAAAGAGAGGCCAGGAAATTAAAAAGGGAGTATCAAACCTGTGCTTCATCTTCCTCTGCCAGTTGCCTCAATAGTTCCAGAGTTGCACATCTAATACTTCCGTCTTTATATTCCAGGAACTTTCCAAGTAAAGGTAACACTCCAGCATCGCAGACTTGGATCTTATTGAATGGTTTAGCTTGGCAGATGCGATGCAGATCTCTCAATGCTTCTTTCACCATACTATCTGAACTGGCTAAGGACAAAGCAGCACGGGCTACCTTGATCCTTGCAGCCTCATTCCTCTCTTTCCATTCATCTATTGTAGTCTTCAGAGCTACATTGGTGCTTAGAACTCTGCTTGTCAGCTTCTTCCCTGTGATGGGGCAACAGATGTTATCTGGACTTTCAGATAATTCAAACCACTCTATAATTGCCTGCCTCTCATATGTTATTCCAGTTTCTATGGTTACTGGATCATCCATGATCTCCTTTGTTAAAGGACAGAAGAAAGTCTCATACAGAGGCTCAAGGTACTGAGCAACCTGTGACAATTCTGTCAGGTATCTTCTTGCGTTCCCAGATTTTCTCTGGCTGTTTTGGCTTGTTCTTTTCAGGATTTCAATAGGCATACTCAAAACCTGAGAATTATCTGTGGATACTTCAACAGTGATAGAGTAAAGATCTGATTCTGTCTTCGTGAATTCTTTCTTCGGCTGCTCCACAGCAGAAATCATCTGGGATTCCAGCTGTTGAGGTTGCCTGACTTCAAAGTGAAAATTCTGCATCTCTTCTGAAAGAGACTGGACTGCAATTTCTACATATTCCTCACCCTCGAATGTAGATGATGGAATCAAGCACAGGCATTCACCCATGTCTTTGACAGCCCTCTCCACCTGTGCTGTTATGCTTCTCAGTTCCACATCCGAGACAGGCTGGCAACTTTCCACATATTCTTTTGCCATATTAATGCTTTGGGATAGAGAGGTAAGAATCTCTTTGGCATTTTTGGGGGTATTCTCTGTTGTCTGCAACTCCATTATGACTGGAGAAATTCTGTAAAAGTAGCACCCAATATCCATGAACTTTTCCTGTTCTACTTTTATGCATGCTACAGAGTCCATGATTTCTGAAATGGATACCAGCAAGGCTCCAGCAAGACTCGCTAAGGAACTGTTTCCGTTCACCTGAAGAAACAATAAGATGTTTAATCCAACTTTAGGAAGTTTGTTCATGCTGATAAAACCTAAACCTCAAGAGATTATTTTCTACATGATGTTCAAATTCTGAGTACAACTGGCATATCCAGCGAACTGGATGGACTTAATGGAGCTAGAGTACAAACTAACTTCAGTAAGAAGCAAGGAAGCTAGAAGGTGATTATTCTGGTAAACCCTAATAAACTGTCATCAATTGATCGGCTATCCTTTATTTTATGATTTCTATTCCAGTTCTTTATTGATTATGAACTCTGTATGGACTGATTTAAATACTAACAAATCCTAATTTCTCTTCTCAAGGGCTTATTGAGATCATGGTCTAGTTTTAATTAAATCTCCTTCAAACTAGTAATTGTTGAGAAGAGGAGAAAGATTGAGATTGAAGAATGCTTACCGACATCCAACTGAAGCATCTATATTCACTGAGCGTCCTCGTGTGAGCAGCTACCCAACCCCTCAGGAGATAGACAAGACAACCAGTCTTGAGATGTCGATATATGCTTCACAAAATCATTCCTAGGTATTTCAGCTTATACATATCTATTACACATCCTCCTGAAAGTGATATTCTTTCATAGATTCCAATATTTTGTGCATTGTTTTATTAGGTATGTATTACATCCCTATGGATGTCTACATGTATTCCTATGATGTAACTTGGATGTTTAGACCTAGGTAACTAAAGCCAATATAGACCAAGTCAGCTCTGGTGGGGCACAGGGTTTGACGAATTGCATCTGTTTCTGTGGTTTTTAGGTTTCTTGATAATATTGGAAAAGCATTTTCTGGAAGAAATCTTCAGGTGTAGGTAAATGATGGTTCAACCTCTTAACTTTTCAGCATGAAACAGGCTGCTTTCAAGTGACACTTAGTATCTATTTTTTCTTTATGACCATTTTTATGTTCCTACTTACATTGCAATACGGGGGAAAATTGCTTTTTTCTACTTTTCTTTTTTTTTCTTGTGAATTTGTTCACATGAGATTGAAATAAAATAATTTGAATTTGAAACTTCTCAAGATTCAATCTTTCATGGTTGACCAAAAAAAAAAAAAGGAAAAGATCCAACCCTTTCATTCTACTAATGCACAAAGCTTCAACGTTTTCAGTGCTAGCTTGTGGAAACTAAGAGG